CTAAATGGCTTCAACATGGAAAGCGAAACAACGAAGGGGGAGATAATCCTACTAGTGAACGTATCCGGGACCATCCAAGATACAAAATTCCATGTCATCGAGGCGGCATGAGGTATAATGCACTCCTCGGGAGGCCATGGATCCACAACATGAGGGCAGTACCTTCAACCCTTCATCAGATGATGAAGTTCCCAATAGAAGATGGTGTGAAAACGGTTTACGGAGAGCAACACGCTTCAAAGGAAATGTTTGCAGTCGATGAAGTGACACCGATACCAGTGACTTCGACCTCTGAAAAGTCGAACACCAAAGGTAGCAGGCGGCCAAATAGCAATCAGCGATCCCAGTCCCGATCGAGCCGGAGGAACAGGTAATCGAAGAAGAAGAAGAGGATTTCCTTACTCCTCGAACCTTCGTTGTTCCCGAAGAGTCAGACACAACCAAATCAACAGTCGGGGAACTGGAACAGGTCATACTTATCGAGTACATGCCCAAGAAGAAGGTATACCTGGGAACGGGGTTAACCCCCGAACTCAGGAAAAAACTCATTCAATTTCTTATCGATAATATGGATTGCTTTGCTTGGTCCCATTTAGACATGACAGGGATCCCGCCGAAAATAACAACGCACCGGCTAAGCATCGACCCCAGGTTCAAACCAGTGAAGCAAAAAAGGAGGCCCCAGTCCGAGGTGAAGCATGCATTCATAAAGAATGGGGTAACCAAACTTCTTAAAATAGGGTCTATTCGGGAGGTAAAATACCCCGAGTGGTTTGCCAACGTAGTCGTAGTTCCTAAAAAGGGAACAAACTTAGAATGTGTGTAGATTATATGGATTTAAACAAAGCATGCCCTAAAGACTCTTTCCCACTGCCTAACATCGATCGCATGATCTATGCCATCGCCGACCACGAGATCCTTACCTTTCTCGATGCCTACTCCGGGTATAATCAAATTCAGATGAACCCGGGGGACCAGAAAAAGACCTCGTTTATCACTAAGTTTGGAACTTATTGTTAAAAAGTAATGCCCTTCGGGCTAAAAAAATGCAGGAGCTACATACCAACGCCTAGTTAACAAAATGTTCGAGCAACAGATAGGTAAATCGATGGAAGTTTACATTGATGATATGTTGGTTAAGTCCCTGCGCGTAGAGGACCATTTAGTTCATTTGCAGGAAACATTCAAAATCTTGAGGAAGTACAACATGAAGCTTAACCCGGAAAAATGTGCCTTCGGAGTCGGCTCTGGCAAGTTCCTCGGCTTCATGGTGTCTAATCGGGGAATCGAGATCAACCCCGATAAGATCAAGGCTATCGAAGATATCACAATCGTGGATAGTGTAAAAGTCGTGCAAAGGCTAACAGGACGAATAGCCGCCTTGGGTCGATTCATTTCGAGGTCATCAGATCGAAGTCATAGGTTCTTTTCCTTGCTAAAAAAGAAAAAGGATTTCGCATGGACCCCGGAATGCCAACAAGCCTTAGAAGAATTGAAGCGATACTTATCGAGCCCACCTCTGCTTCACACCCCGAAGGTAGATTAAAAGCTTTACTTATATTTGGCAGTATCCGAGATAGAGGTAAGTAGGGTACTAGTTCGAGAAGAGCAAGGTACGCAATTCCCTGTTTATTATGTAAGTCGAACTCTAGGAGATGCTTAAACTAGATACCCTCACTTAGAAAAATTAGCACTTGCATTAATAAGCGCATCTAGAAAGTTAAAGCCATATTTCCAGTGTCACCCAATATGTGTGTTAACCACTTATCCTCTCCGAAATATTTTGCATAAGCCCGAACTATCGGGGCGATTGGCCAAATGGGCAGTCAAACTTGGCGGGTACGATATTGAATATCAACCCCGAACGACCATTAAGTCTCAAATCTTGGCCGACTTCGTGGCCAATTTTTTGCCGACCCTCGTACCCGAAGTGGCGAAAGAACTTCTGCTAAAATCGGGTACGTCGTCGGGGGTAAGGTCCCTTTTCACGGACGGTGCCTCGAATGAGAAAGGGTCCGGGCTTGGCATTGTTTTGAAGCCACCAACAGGTAGTACTATTAGACAATCCATTAAAACTTCTAGGTTGACTAATAATGAGGCCGAGTATGAGTCCATGATTGCAGGTTTCGAGCTAGCTAAAAGCTTGGGGGCAGAAGTCATTGAAGCCAAGTGCGATTCACTATTGGTGGTTAATCAAGTAAACAGAAGTTCTGAAGTTCGAGAGATAGGATGCAATGGTACTTGGATAAGCTACAGGTAACTTTGCACCGCTTCAAGGAGTGGACTCTAGATCATGTGCCTCGAGAACAAAATAGTAAAGCAGATGCACTTGCTAATTTGGGGTCATCGGTTGAAGAAGATGATATCGTCCCGGGGACTGTCATCCAATTATCGAAGTCTGTGGTCGAGGAGGGTCATGCCGAAATAAATTCTACAAGTTTGACTTGGGATTGGAGGAATAAGTATATCGATTATTTGAAAAATGGAAAACTCCCACCGAACCACAAAGAATCGAGGGCCCTACGAACCAAGGCTGCTAGGTTCACGTTAGATGAAGATGGAACATTGTACAGGAGGACGTTCGATGGACCATTAGCGGTATGTTTAGGGCCAGGGGACACCGACTATATTCTACGAGAAATCCACGAAGGTACTTGTGGGAATCACTCCGGCGCCGAGTCTTTGATTCGCAAAATTATTAGAGTAGGGTATCACTGGGACAACATGAAAAAAGATACTAAGGAGTTTGTCAAAAAATGTGATAAGTGCCAACGGTTTGCACCGATGATCCATCAGCCCGGAGAGCAACTCCAGTCAGTCATATCCCCGCGGCCTTTCATGAAATAGGGAATAGACATTGTCGGCCCTCTACCAACGGCCCCATGTAAAGCTAAATTCATTTTTTTTATGAATGGTTATTTTTCTAAATGGGTGGAAGCACAGGCCGTCAAGAAGGTCAGAGAAAAGGAAGTTATTGACTTCATCTGGGACCACATCATATGCCGGTTCGGGATACCTGCCGAGATTGTATGTGACAATGGAAAGCAATTCGTCGGCAGCAAAGTGACAAAGTTTTTTGAATACCATAAAATAAAAAGGATCCTGTCAACGCCGTATCATCCTAGTGGGAAACGGACAGGCCGAATCGACAAACAAGACCGTCATCTAAAATCTAAAGAAAAGATTGAACGAAGCTAAAGGAAAATGGAGAGAAATATTGCCCGAGGTTCTTTGAGCGTATCAAACAATGTCGAAATCCAGTACGGGGGCAACGCCATTTTCTTTAGTCTACGGTGGCGAAGCTCTAATCCCGGTCGAAGTCGGGGAACCTAGTTTCAGATTTCGTTATGCAACAGAAGAGTCAAATCACGAGGTTATGAGTACGAGCCTCGAATTGCTAGTTGAAAGACGAGAAGCCGCCCTCGTTCGAATGGCCGCACAAAAGTAGCGGATCGAAAGGTATTACAATCGAAGAGCCATTCTTCGACACTTTAAGATCGAGGACTTAGTTCTGAGAAAGGTCACCCTCAATACTCGGGACCCAAACGAAGGAAAACTTGGCCCGAACTGGGAGGGACCATATCAGGTCCTCGATATCATCGGAAAAGGATCCTAAAAACTTGGCACGATGGACGGCGAGCAATTACCAAACAATTGGAACGTATCACTCCTCAAACGGTATTACTGTTAAGGTATGACCTTCTCCATTTTCATTTATATTTTATACTAACCAATTGTAGGTTTTCAATCGAAGGCATTAAAGGATTCTTCATCACAAAGTCCATAGGTCTGAAAGCACGCGCTGCACTCTTTTTCCCTTAGATCGGTTTTTGTCCCAAATGGATTTTCCCGGCGAGGTTTTTAATTGAGGCAACCATTGTTCGTGCTAACTTAGAGCAATTCAGCAGTATTCGAGGATTTATTACAATCAACCTTGAATACTAAGGGAGCATCACCCTCGGATGTCGACTTTGTTACAAGGAAGATACTTCGTGTCGACAGGGTCTCGATAGGTTAAATTTTGTAAGGACCAAGCGGTCGAACAAATCGTGCCCATGTAGATTACTCGAGCCCTAAAGGCAAACATGTACGCATGTATAATCTATTGAGAAAAGTAGTTTTCCTTGCCGAATATTTCATGCCTTAGAGAAATTTTTACTTTACAATTTCATACTTTTGGTATATTGTGAAAACAGGCTTAAGGGCCGATCACAGCTGAAGTTTAAACAACTCGGGGACTGTCGTCCGAAAAATTGGCATAATCAAATTATTAAAGTCTCGAGATCATAAGACCTTGAAAAGGCAGCCCTCATTTTTATAGGCCACGGCCACCCCACTCGGGGACTGACATTTCGAACAAGTTCGAAGTATAATTGAGAAACAAGCCCAAGAGGCAAATCTCAAGATAAAGGCTACGGCCAAACTAACACGGTTCGGAGACGTCCGAATTCCGTAATAAAAATAGCCTTCTAATATCTTCACAAAACCGGTTAAAAGGGCTACCCTCAACAAAATTATAAAGGGTTTCGATAACATCAACCCTCGAAAACCCTAAAGGGTATCGGATTGTTCGAACTCTCGAACAAACTTTATATCATGCTGAAGCATAACAAATTGTTATATGATTAATATTTTAAGCCGAAAAGGGAAGGAGCCATTCTTTTGAGGCCATATCGGCCTAATCCAAGAGCCTAAGGGCCATTTCATTTTTTGAGTTCGAGGAGCTATCTTCACTCAACTAAAACCTAAGAGTCATCCTACTTTGAGTTCGAAAAGTTATGCACTTGATTATAAAGACTGCACTAGCCAGACCTCGATCCAATTGCCTAAGCTTCGAACTTGTGAGCAAAATCTTCATAACGCATGAATGAAGCACAAGGCAGAAATTGAAATGAAAACAAGTCAGAGAGAAAAGAGGTCTTTTATATATAAAGATATTTACAAGGACCGATGAGGGTCCTACACGAAAAATAAAAGAAAAAAGAAAAATCCTAAGGTTCCTAATTATTTTCGGGGGCATCTCCCTCTCCATCGAGGTACTCCACACTCTCGGAATCGCTCTTGCTTCCGGCATCATGGTCATCGTCATCGTCGGAGGAGGCCAATGCCTTGGCATCATCTTCAAGCTCTTTGGCTTTCCTTGAGTCGTCAGTAAGATCGAAACCTCTAGCATGGATCTCCTCGAGAGTTTCCCTCCGATATTGGCACTTGGTGAGCTCGGCAATCCAAAAAGCTCGATTTTGAGCGGCCTCGGCAGACTCTCTTGCTTGGGCTTAAGCAGCTTCAGCATCAGATCGGTAGACAGCCACGATCACCTCTGCGTCAGCCTTTACTTTTTCTGCCTCAGACTTAACCTTTGCATGTTCGGCAGCCAACCGAGCCTCGAGCTCCTCTATTTTCTTGGCTTGAGCTGATCTTTCCTCCTTGATGCCTTGAAGCTGACTTTCGGCCAATGACAGTTGGGCTCGAGCAGCATCTTTCTCCGAGGCAAGGCGCTCCATGTTTTGTTTCCACCCCAAGGTCTCCGCCCTCATCATGTTAACCTCCTTACGGAGCTGTTCGATCTTTTCGGACTTCTGCTGAACCTGTGAGATTGAAATGTTAGCCATAGACCCCAAACTGAAACCATGAGCTTCTAAAAATTTCATTACCTGCTCAATCAGGTCGGTCTGTTCTTTGTGAACTGTGGCCAATTCGGCTCGGAGGTCCTTGATCTTCTCTTCTTTTTGCCCGCTGAGAAGTTTGAGGGCATTTCTCTCCTTCGTGAGCTTTTGAAGATCGGCCTCGCATCGGCTCAGGTCTGCTCGAGATTTAGAAAATGCCTCCCGATGGAGTGTTAAGGCCTATGCAGAAAGAGGAAAGGAAATTAGACAAGAAAAAATAAATACAAGTGTGATATCGATGAAGGGAGTTGAGACTTACCCGACTCAGGATTCATTGAGCCTCGTCAAAGAGACTCGATGCCTCACTCAGGGCGGTAGCATCCTCAACTCCTGTAAAGCAACCACGAAAAAGGTCCTCCCCTTCGTGGGCTCCTTCCACATCGGGAGTCCTCAAAGCTTGGGCATCCTGAATTTCCTCCTCGAAAAATGCAGGGAGAGTCGGCGAGTCTCCAATTACTATTGCCCCAAGTGAATCACTTGGGACGTTCTCTTCATTTCGAAGGGCCTTGGAGCGGGCCCCTTCAGACATACCCGCCGACTGCTCATTTCAGCGGGAGACATCTTCAGTCTCCGAGGACTCGGGGACTTTGCCCGGGCCCTCTTCCAAGACCTCCTCGGTTCGAGGCTAAATCTCCTCAACCCTCACCGACTCAGTGGCCTTTGGGGCCTCGGTGTTTTTCTTCACTCGAAAAACCAGTTCGGAGCCGTCGTCTTCATCTTCTTCTTTTTCCTCTCTTAGTCACTGAGCTACCTCAGCAAGCAGAGCGACTTTGTCTTTCTTCGGCTTACGAGCCTTACTTTTCTTGGGCTTTGGATCCTCGGAGGTCGAGACCCTTTTTCTCTTTTTATCCTTCGTCGGTTTCGGGGCCGGGGGCGAAACCTCCTCCTCCCGGACGGATGCCTCATGATAGCATCTTGTCTGAGGCTTGTGTGAAAGGAAATCAAGTGAGTATGAAAAGAAATATTTTAGTCAAAATCGTCAAATACGTGAATAGGGGCTTACCAGGATTTTTGGCCTCCCATCGGCCCCTTGCCAAATCACGCCATGAGCACTCAGCGTATGAAGAGGTCGAAGCCAGGTCCCGAACCCAGATCTCGAGGCTAGGAATTGCACCGGGCATCCAAGAGACCGCTACATCGTAGAAAGGGATGTCGATGAGAAGAAACAAAGGAAACAAAACAATAAATGGAAGCTATATGAGGGATTGTACTTACGCTCCATATTCCATTTCTCGGGAAATGGCATCTTCTCGGCCGGGATTAGGTCGGAAGTCTTCACGCGAACGAACTGGCCCATCCATCATCGATCCTTGTCCTCATCTATGCTCGAGAATAGCACCTTGACAACCCAACGCCGAAGCCTTATTAACCCGCCCCGATAGAGATGGGGGCTGTACAACCTGATGAGATGGTCGAGGGTGAAAGGCATCCCCTCGATTTTGCTCGCAAAGAATCGGAGCAGAATAACATTCCGCCAAAAAGAGGGATGGATTTGACCTAGGGTTATTTTTCATCAGCTTGTTATATTTTCAACTGTTCTTGCATCAACCAGTTCGAGGGCACTCTAGCTCGAGGGTTGAATTACGTTTCAACATTGGTTTGCTTTATCTTATTGTAATTTCCATTATTAATCTTCATATTCATCAATTGGTATCAACTGAAATAACGTCACCTTAAAACCACATTATAAGTTTAATTGTTATCCAATTTTAAGGGTAAACATGGATGTTACACACTTTCTGACAGTGAAAATCATATTACACACTCAACCTTTCAAAAGTGTATCTAAGACACATCACGTTTGACAGATCGCGCGTGCGCATTTTATACGTAAAAGAGGCGGGAGAATTTAAAACTTTTGGGTCTTAATCATTACTTAGACGTCATATGTGTCGCGCCCCCCTTTTTTCCATCTTTGCAGCGGAAGTCAGGGTTTCGACATTCATTTGGGACAACCCGTTTCCTTTTGGGAAAGGGGTACAAAAGTTGAACAGTCGCCACCTAACGGATTTAAGGTGCGTTAGGGCACCTATTGCAAGTAACTCATAAAACCGGTTTGTGTTACCAAAGATTGGGTAAGGGCTTGAAATTACCTTGAGGGGAAGGTGTTAGGCACCCCTCGAGGTCCACAACGGTGGGTCCCGGCCAAACTCATTTTGTGAATTAGTCATTTAACAGATAGGCAGTCTAAGCACACATATAAGATAAAGGAAATTTAACAGATAAGCAGTCTAAGCACGCATATGTAAATAAGATGAGGGAAGTGCTAGGTTTGTTAGCCTATAGGATCACATCTGTACAATACCCGGTAATCCTTCCTCAACTAGAGGGGCTACACGTGGTATTACCGCACAGGTCATCATATCCTTTTACTACCCAATTACCCTCCCCTTAGCGGTTATATAAGCGGTTTTAATTAGATGAACTCTATGCGTGCATTACCCGTCCCTTCTTTGTGGTCCCGGAGGTGTTTAGGACCTCTAATTTTAGGCAGTTCTAGACTCTCCTAAGGTGTTTAAAAGGGAAAATCTAAGCGACAACAAAGAACAAACAGGACTGTCAAGTAAGAAACAATTAAGGGGCTCATGTTTACCTCCACAAATAAACAGACAATTAGCACGTCTCAAACAACAGATTTCAGATATTTCAGAAAGGTCCTAGAACAGGATATCTAGGTGAGCATGACAAGGAGAGAATATGCAGCATTGTGTTAAGGCGAAGCGATAGAGACCTAATAAGTTTGCCTACTGATTTTAGAACCTGTTGAATCTGGGCAGTCAGCAAAGCATAGTTTCACAGTTTTTATTAGACCTTGATTACCTATAGGCTTGCCTAGGCATGGATCTGTAATACCCTATAAACATGTTGTCTAAATGCAACCAGAATTTTGGGAATCAGTTTAAAACGGTTTGAATTTATTAAGTCCTATAAGCATGCTGGTCTAGGTGCTGACTATTACATTACAGAAATGGTTTATACACACTTATCTCTATGACATCTAAGTGTTGGGATTGTTTTTAAGCATTTTTATAGACAAGATAGTTATTGATTTAGGCGATGTAGACATGGTTTAAAGCGAATACAAATACAGTCTTAAGGCAAGATCTATAATGCACAGAAAGAATGGACGTTTTTATTAGGCGGAATTATAACAGTAACTTAATAACGGGATTTCTAGATGATCATGATTATGCAGAAATAGAATTTCGTAAGAAATGAGGTAATATGCCTATAACATGTTGTACAGTATGCCAAGTGATTCTAAAAGCATGGTTTCTAATGTAGGTAAACATAGTATAAACCTAAAGCATGATTTCTAATGCAGGTAAACATAGTATAAACCTAAAGCATGATTTCTAATGCAAGTAAACATAATATAGACCTAAAGGCATGATTTCTACCCGGTTTCTCCGCAAAAATCATATAAGAATCCCTCCCTTTTACTAATTTCCCAATATCTGTTTACAAAGATTATCATTACAGACCATAAATATATAAATTACATAATAAATATAAGCTATGCTATAGGGAGTCTGAAATAGGCCCAAAGGGAACCTGGAAGTACCAGGCCTTCAAAACAGTCCAAGATGCCATAGTCCATAGTATCCAATGAGGTATCCTGGTGCGTCAAAGTTCCCAAGGGCCCCGGGCGATGCTCACACCAACATCCTTATAAATAGAGAAGTAGTTATGTGCAGTGTGGAAGGGCCAGCCCCAGTGTGCCAGAGTTCGGAGGAATCTCATGGATTCCTAGGCAGTACACACACTGGAGGGGAAGAACTTAAATAATCTAAGAGTAGAAGTGAGAGTGCTTGACATAGTTGGAAGAACTTAGTAAAAACAGTATAGAGGTAAAAATTTTAGGAGTGAAAAGGTATTTCAGGAATGGAAACAGTTTTAAGAAAAAAATGTTAAGAGTGAAAACAGTTTTGGAAGCAATTCTGAGAAGAACAAAGATTCAACAAACAACCAAACAATCACAAAAACTTAGAGTGTCCAGATTCAAAGCCATTTATTACTTAATTCTAAGTGAAGACAAACAAGTTTACAAACAGGGATCAGGGGGGTTGGGAACATAGGGAGCTTAAATCCGAAACACATGAACATGGATAAGAGGGGAAGCATATTGATCAGCCAGTACATAGAACAAGCAGGGATTGATTGACAACCAGTGACCAAATTCATAGCATTAGAATACAAACTACTGATTCAGAGTATTAACAAGGAAATTATACTTAAAGCTAAAGTGATAATAGACATTAGAGCATAGAGACAGAATGCAGGAATATCCATATTGAGGACAAGGGTCTACCACACAGAATTAGTCATACCAATTGTGGTTAATCAGATAAATTAGGAGCCTGAACTACTTAAAATGAGCATGCTAGTTGAAGGAAACAGACAAGAGCTCAAGTAAACATGCTGGCTAAATTAGCAAACAAGAAGATTGAAACCTACACATGCTGATTAAAACACTGAACAAGAGGGGGTAAAACTTTGGCATACTGATCAAAGCAGTAAACAGGAAGAACAACTAAGTACATAATCAGTTAAATTAGTGCGGAAATAGGCATGGATTTAACAACTATGGAGAACATAGATTTGAATTCCAGAATGATATTGAAATAAGAACATACCAGTTAAGGAAGCAAAGTGCAGAAAGTAAAGCAGGTAGAGTTCCACAGTCTAGCCTTGTCTTTCAGCTGGCTAGACAAGCAATGAGCACAAGTAGCAGAAAGAGAGATGAAAGAAAGTTTGAGTGTGTGTGTGTGTGTGTGTGTATTTTTGAACTACTGTCCGTGTCCTTGAGAGGTAGAACAAGTGTGTATATATAGCACTTAGGGAGTAGAGCAAATAAGGTAAAGAGAATCAGAAGTCAGTCAATTAGGGGCAATCAAATAATCACCGAATCAATTCATGTAAGGGAGTCCGGAATAAACCCCTTAATTAGGGGTAATCACTTAACGGTCACAGCAAAAGGGGGTTAAATAGGGTAAGGAATCCAAATCATACCAAATAGGGAATCAGTAAGAATCCCAAAACCATACGGATAACTTATTAAGGCAAGTGTGATCAAGTAAAGTCACAAATAAGATCTGTGCACACAGATTTTAACAGGGCAAAATAATAGGAAATAATCGGTAAAACCTTCAAAAGAATACTGATTTTTGGGAAAGAATTACTCAGATTTCATAAATAGAAATTAAATAAGTAAAGCTTCACAGAAATACAGAATTCAGCAAGAAAAACAGGTTTGAACCATAAATAGAGATTAATTAGGACAAAATCCCAAAGAAATACTGGATTTTAACAAGGAAAACATTTAAGCCCAAAAACGAAGTAAACTAATACGACTGGTATCACAGAAATAACAGAGTATCGAAACAAAATCGAAGAAACCAGTATATTGCACAGAATCAACTAGGGTTTGAACATTCAAGCGAAAATCAGTTAAGATGATGAAGAAACAATTAACTAAACACTGAGAACTTAGAAAAATCGTTGAAGAAAAGTTTGAGATGAACCCTAGTTTAGAAAGAGTGATTAAAAATCGAAATAATCCATTAAAACAAGAGTTTTTGAAGGATAACACTTAATAACATTCGAATCACCTCAGATCTATAAAGATCTAAGAAGAATCGACAGTATCGAACTAGGATTTTCAGAAAAATAGCAGAGGTGGAGAGAATAGGTCAAGAACCCATAGATTTGTAATAAAACAAGGAGAGATCCTTACTTACGAACGTAAAATGGCCTGAGACAGGCCGGTAAACAAAGTTTCAAACCAGAACCAGTTGGAGTTCCTTGAGATCTTCTCAAGGACTCATGAAGTAGAAGATCCATGGAGTGTAGGAGGCTAGGGGTGGTCGGAGAAGACATAGAAGCACCATAGGAGGGAGGTTTACGCCGGTGACGGCGACTAGGGTTAGGGTTAGGTTGAGAGAGAGTTGAGAGATGAGGGGAGACGATGACGGCGGGCTTTTGAGAGAATAAAAAGGGTTTGGGGTAGGTTAGGGGTTAATTAAGGTAAGGGTGAACGTGGAGATCAACGGCCACGATTGAAGAGGGGTTATTGGGTCGGGTAGGTCGATTGGGCCTAAGGGGGTTTTGGGCTGGTAAAAATGGTTAGGTCTGAAATAAAAAGGGTTATTTGTTAAATACCCAAATAATTGATAAAATATATTTTATAAAATAATTAACTGATTATAAAAAAATAATTTCATGCATGAAAAATGCTTTAAAATAATTACTCAATCTTTTAAAAATACAATGAGCTATTTTTTGGTAAAATAATGC